CCAGACCGCCTTATATAAAATTGGGTTCTCTTGCTGATGGAACAAAGGGAGACTGAATAGCAGGTAGCAATGACCAGTCTCTGCCACACATTCTGTATTTATTCTCAGCTTTAAATCTTCAATGCTACCCTGAGGTCTCATCTTGCCAAAGTTAGTCTTTGTTTTGCTTTTCTCTACTCTGGGTCTCACTTTCCTCATCTGAGAAAAACCAGATTAGGGGGTGCCTGGGTGGCTCAGTCAGTTAAGTGTCCAACTTTGGCTCAGGTCATGGTCTTGCAGTTTCAGGTTTGAGCCCCATGTTGGGCTCTGTGCCGACAGCTCAGAGCCTGGAGCCTGCTTTGGATTCTGTGTCTGCCTCTCTCTCTGCCCCTCCCCCATTCGCACTCTGCCTCTCTCTCTCAAAAATAAATATTTTAAAAAATGTAAAAAAATGAGATTAATATAATTCAAAGAGACACAGGGAAAATAAATAGGAAAGTGATTGGAAAGGTTTTATAAATATAAAAAATATACAATTTATAAATATACATTTATACTTTTATATATATTTATAACAAAGAACTGACAAACTGGTAAACTGAATGTTTACCTAGCTCCAAATGCCTAGAATAGGGATATTCTTAAGGGAGGATTTCAGCCTCTACTAAATGATGAGTTTTCTCCCCCCAGCATTTAAGCCTCTCCCAGAGACATGAATTAATACCTTTTAGGTCATGGAGGGAACTCTTAAGTGCTTAACTCTTATATAATTTTGAAAAAATGAGTTGGCATCAGAGACAGTTATCACACTTTGCACATTATCCTAAGAAAATCAGTACTTACTTTGTGGATTTCACGTAATTTGCCATCTTTAACCTCCCTCATTATTGCTGGTTCTGTCCTTTTCACAAACGCTTACTACGCTATAGCATTGGCTTTACGAGGTCTAAACAAAATGCTCTGTGTACTATGAGCTTTTTTATACTTTCATTTGTCCACTCAATAACCATTTATTATCTGTTTTGTTAAGTTTATTTTTAAATATTTATTCACTTTTGAGAGACAGAGGACAGAGGGTGAGTAGGGGAGGGGCAGAGAAAGAGGGAGACACAGAGTCTGAAAAAGGCTCCAGGCTTTGAGCTGTCAGCACATAGCCTGATGCAGGGCTCGAACTTACTAGTCATGACCTGACTGAAGTCAGATGCTCAGTTGACTGAGCCATCCAGGTGCCCCCTCTGTTTTGTTAAGTTTTGGGCACTGGGGTTTTATTATAAACACAAAACACAGGGTTCCTTTCCTGATACAGTTTACATTACAGTGTGTGTGTGGAGGTGTTGTTGAGGGAGATAGACCATGAACACGTAAACAAATGAGCGAGATAGTTTAGATAGGAAAAAATGCTATAGTTAGTAGGGGGACATGGGAGCGTGTAATCGAGAGGGAGAGGCTATTAGTTAGTTCTCTTTGAGTAGCTAAGGTAAGTTTTCTTTAAGGAGCTAAGGTATGGATGTGAGACAAAGCCATTGACAAACGCACAATTTACAATGAGCACTTATTTCATGGTTACAGGCATATAAAAATTTTTGTTTCTAAAGGCAAAACCATTCTTTCTCCCCCTACACAAATGATGAAGATACAACTTTTATTTAAATCAAGTATCAACAAAAAAAATGCTCCATCTGTTAATACCAAAGATAAGATTTTGAGCAATATTGGAATTATTTTGAAACCCAAACAGCTGTCAGTTGCAGTGTGCCTTCAAAAAAAAAAAAAAAATCAGGCACTTGCTCTTGCTTAATTCCAATGTTAGTTACTTTTGGGAAATGAAACATGTGAGTATCTCACTTGACTGTTAAGAGTACAATGTTATCAGCAAACTGGCAATGAATTTTGTTGCAAAAATGAATCCATTCTGTTTTTTGAAAAAATCCGTTTTATGTCTGTGATTCATGATCTTGTAGAATCATACATGTGCAGAAAAAGTTGGCATCTGCCAGGAGCAAAGCAAATTTGATTAGATGTTCCAGTGCCCAGAACATATTCGTTTAGGGTTTACAACTGGCTTCCTTAGAAATATGGGTGTTGCTTATCTAGTGATGTGAATTTAAAACATACAGAGCCTTGAGCACTGGGTGTTACATGTAAGTGATGAATCACCAAATTCTACCCCTGAAACCATTATTACATTATATGTTGACTAACCTGGTCTCAAATAAAAAAAAGACCTTCAAAATGATTCCATTGGAAAAATATATGTTAAGCAGAGAAAAAGTCTAAGAATATACATTAAAATGGTAGCTGTTTAAAAAAAAAAACATACAGAGCTTCAGATTTGATCCCTGATTAAAAAAAAATCCACCAAACTTTATCTATAAGAATAGATTTCCTGAAAAATTAGACTTGATTCTCATTATAACATTAACATATTACAAATTTAGAGCCAAGTTCTTTTGTATCTTTTCAAAATTTGAGATGAAATTTGTAAGACAATAACAAAGTATATGGGAGAGGAAGAAGCCACCAATGAGATGGTTTCACGTCAAAAAGATGTGGTATTAATTTAGGAACCAATAAACTTTAAAAAACGGAATCTTGTGTGAGTAATACAGAGTAGAATCTGGACCCAGACAGGAAACCTAGCCTCAGAAAGTGAAGCATAAACAGAAAACAGGGTGGAGGGGAGGAGGAATGGAAATTTTCAGGAGTATTAAAATTAAAAGGCTTTTAGTTCCCTTCTAGCCCATGTATTTGATTCTAAGAGCACCCAAAGGGGCGCCTGGGTGGCTCAGTTGGTCGGGCATCCTAGTCTTGATTTTGGCTCAGGTCATGATCTCAGGGTAGAGGGACTGGGTCCCAGGGTTGCCTAGCCTACTTAAGATTCTCTTTCTCCCTCTCCCTCTGCTCCTCCCCTGCTTTCTCCCTCTCTCCAAAAACTAACTAACTAACTAACTAACTAACTAACTAACTAACTAACTTCTTATTCTCCTTCTCCTTCTTCTTCTTTTTTAAAAGAAGGTGTTAGGGGCATCTGGGTGGTTCATCCAGTTAAGTGTCCAACTTTGGCTCAGATCATGGGAGTTTGAGCCCCACCTCTAGCTCTGTGATGACGGTTCAGAGCATAGAGCCTGCTTCAGATTCTGTGCCTTTCTCTTAAAAATAAATAAACATTAAAAAAATAGAAGGTATCAACCAGTTAAGAAAATGACCTTATTGAGATATGCAGATAGCCATAAAATTCACCCACAGGCATACTATTCGATGATTTGTAGAAAATTCAGAGTTGTGCAACCATCACCATGATCTAACCTATTTTCTTTTCATGTTGTTTCTGGGATAGAAACTATTTTAGTTTTCTTTTTATAAAAGTTACATAGTGATTTGTTAAAATGGTGGAGCAAGTTTCTAGAATACAAAGGAGACTTGTCAAAAACATGTAATAGACATGTGTAGGCAGTCTGTTTACTGAAACAAGTGAGAGAGGGAGAGTGGTTGGAGGCAGTACAGAACAATGGTTAACAGCCACTCCTTAGGGTCAGACTGCTGGAGTTCAGATTCAGGCATCCTTATTTGCTTTAAAGCTATCTGACCTCAAACAAGTTACTTAAATTCTCTGAGCCTCAGTTTACTCATCTGTAATATACGAGTACCTACTTTATGGGGTTATGAAGGATAAATGGGATAATATGTACGAGGTGCTCCGCATCATCCTGACCTATAGTAAGTACTCAATGAATGTTAGCTATTCTTATGATTATCACCAGATGACCATTAGTCTTTCACGAAGCAGACACTAAAGACCACATGCTCTATGATTCAATTTATATGAAATTCTAGAAAAGTCAAAACGATGGTGATAGAAAGTTGACCAGGGGTTGCCAGAGGCAGGAGAGTGGGGGTAGGAAATTGACAGCAAAGAGGCACAGGGAACTTTTGGGGATGGTGTTATGTAAACATTTGTCATGGAATCACACACTTAAAACTTGGTGAATTTTATTGTGTGTAAAATCAAGCAGACAAAAAATACCCCAACCCTAAAAAATATAGCTTTCAATTTTCTAGTTGGACAGTTCAATTATTACGTTAGAAGCAAGAATGAATTTCTAAACTCAGCCAGCAAATATTTGTTGAGTACCTACTATGTGCAAGGCACTGTTTTAGTGCTGAGGCTACAGCCTTGAAGTGGACAGCATCTCTACCCTCATCCAGCTTCGAATTAGATACACATATTTGGGACCACAAAACGGGTCAGTGTGGGATGTTACGCGGGCATAACCGTGACAGGGGAGTGGCAGGTGGGGTAGAGGAGCTCCGAGTTGTATAAATATCTGTTCCGTGGATTTTCTTTTATTTTTCAAACATACACAGAAGCAAACATAGCTTGCCTCTATCTGACATAGTGTTTGGGCACGTGGCATGACAGAGGCCTCTGGGTGACAGGTGATCTTGAGTGACCCAGGGCTGCCCACTGGTCCCAAGATCTCTGAGTCCTACCTGGCGATGGAAGCGGACTGGTATAGGCCCACGGACCAGGTACATGCTTCCACGGGCATGAGGGGTAGTGTGCCCTTGACCTCGTCAACTCGGCACTCTGTTGGCGCCAGGCTAGCAAGAGGCACCCCTGTCACCCCCAGGCAGAGCTCCCTACGCTGGGCCCCGGCAAGTACCCGACCAGAACGCGATCCAAACTACCGAAGTCTCCGCGGTGAGATGACTCCGCCCACGAAGCGACCCTGCCCACAAGAGACCCCGCCCACATGGGGGCGGAGACTCGTTAGCGGGAACCTGGTTAGCTGTTCACTTTGAGCCGCGTGGGGGGGCGGGGCGAGGACTGCGGGGGGCGGAGCTTGCGGCGAGGAGGGCCGCTTGGCGCCGGCTAGGGAAATGGATGCTCTGCTGGTCCGCCGGCGTCGGGGGCGGGGAAAACACTCGCTCGGCTCGGCACTGGCCCCGCCCGGGCCCCGGCGGGAGCCGGGGGCCGCCCCCTTCCTCCCTTACTGGCACTGGGCTGAGCCTAGAGCCGAGAAACCTCGTATGCTCTGAGCTCCCTGTTTAGTTTTTGGGTGGCTGCAGCCTGAGGAGGAACATGGCGCTCGTGGGCAACGGAGCAGAGCTGGAGGCGGACGAGGTACTGGCTGGTGGGGGTGCGGGCACTGTGGCTGGAGTCCGGGAGGGATGAGCGAGCCCGGCAGGCACTGCCAGGGTCCCGCCCCCTTGGTCCCCAGTCTGGGGCGGGCAGCCTCCGGTCGGGAGGAAGGGGCAGGGGCTGCGGTTGGGGGCACCCGGCCTGGGAGGTCTGTCCCCGCGGGAGCGAGGAGCGCGCTCGGAGCGGAGGCGCTGCGGCGTTCGGGGGGCCGGCACCGTGGGGTCGTGGGGATACAGGACACCACGTCGGGTCTGCGGGCGGATGGGTGCGAGTGCGCGGGAGTGCGGGAGCCGCAGCGCTGGGCTGTTCGGAGCCACTTCAGGAGCGCCTGGGTTCTTTGGAGGTGTGACCCTGGAGTCTCGACACTGGCTGTCTGGGGTTTGTGTAACCTCACAAACCTGGAAGTTTCCAGGTGGCAGAACCGAAAGGCTTCGGTCGGTGGCAGCAGGAGGACTGGCGGGAGAAGGAGCCCCAGGGGCGTTTGCACGAGCGGACGGGGCGCGGGCTGCCGAGGGGCCGGAGGGCTAGAGGACCCGAGCCGCAGCTCAAGAATTGGTGCTTTCTCCGCAGTCCACGGGGCACGGGCCTTTCCCACGCAGGTCCGCCGTGTCGGTGGTGGACGGGAGCGAACCGACTCCGGCCTCTTCACTTCTCAACTGTGTTTAAATAGCCATTTCCTCCCGCGGCGGGCGCGCGGGGGTCTGAGCACCCTTGGGCGCGCACTAGACCTGTTGATTTATTGATTGTTCCTTTCAGCACTTGGCAGATCCCGAGAGACGCTCCCTCTTGCGCTGGAAGTTGAGGCCGGCAGCAGCACCCACATTTGCTGCTGCTGCTGCTGCTGCTGCTGCTGCTGCTGCCATTTTACCTGACTTGAATTTTACAAGTCGCTGCTGGAGGAGGTTTAGTTTCAAATGATGCAATAGTGGAAGATCTGGAGGAGGCGGGTTAAGATTCCTGTCCATCTCTTTAATGTTGGGAAACTCCTGACAACGAACCCTTTCAGTGTAGCCCTTAAAATAAAAACGAAACAAAAACCAAACTAAAGCTCCTTTGCACGACTGACGGGCAAGAGGGCAGGCCGGGTCGTTGAGAACCTTCCTTACAGTCAATGCCTTGCAGTGAGGACCCCCAAGACCACAAAACAATGAGCTAGAATTTGCTAAGTTGCATCTATTCCTTGTTGAAACTTATAAACTACACATAAAGGCAAATGATGAAATAGCATGTTTGTTGCTATTTTCATCCATGACAACCTTTCTTTATTTATAGCTTTAGGCTGTCTTTTTGGTATGACCTAGAGCCTTCTGTTTTTCTTTCCTCCTAAGTTCTTTTCTATAATCAAGGTAGTAACACTTTCATGGTGCTTTGACCAACATACACTCCCTTCCTCAAAAGTTTTTATGGCTTTCTGTTGTATGTTAAATTAAGTATTCATATATCTGACATGCAAGGCCCTCTGCAGAATCTCAATGTGATGTTCCAACCTGTCCCCAGCTGCTTCCTTATGTATAACCAGTTAGTTGGGTCAGTGTTATACCTGTATTATAGATGACTGGAAGTAGATAGGAAATATGGAATGAAAGTTTTGAATCCCTAGTCCGCTAGTCTAAAAAGATTTGATACTCTTAGGGCTATATAATTGTCTAGACCAGAGCATTGTTAAGAGAGAAAGGGGATGCTATTAATTATTAACGCTTGGACAATAGGTGTAAATTGGGACAGTCCTGGGCATTTTGAAATACAGAGCCATCCTAACTATGCCCACTGCCTACAAGATGAACCCAAGTGTTGGGATACATTAGCTAGGGCAGAGTACTCTAGTTCTCTGGGGGAAGTTAGGGTTCAGAACAGCAGAGAGCTTGGCACATTTATTAAATGAATGAATAAAAGCAGAAGTGAAGTTTCTTAATAATTTCTCATTATTTGCTATGTCTTTGATTTTTTAAATTCAGTAACTGTTAGGCTTTTGTTACATGTCATGTACTACATTGGTTCTAGGAGATGAGCAAAGTATAAACAGATTTTTTTTCAATGCCAGATTCACATTTATACCTTATAGTATGCCATTTCTATTGGTATAAATTTGGCAAACATTTATTCAACATTTGCTCTGTGCTGAAAGTTGGTAGGTGCCTTCGAAAGAGAAGACACAGTTTTAGGTCTCTAGGCTTCTCTGTCTAGGTAGGGAGATATGACATGTATATAAGAACTCCAGAATAGAGTTGAAGGCAGGTTAAGCAAGTAGGAAGTAATGCATTGTAAACTGGGTACACTTGACTTGTAGAAAGTCCCTAACATTTCATTGGCCTGAAGCACTCTACCGTGAGTGAACAAGACTTGCTCTTCAATTTTACTGGGTGTGTGAAACTAAAATGGCTTATTTCAGCTAGGGAGCTTTTTAAACAATTAATATACATTTGATAGTCTTAGTGGCTATTATTTTATATCCTAGGGAAGTTGAAGGGGGCAAAGTGGTGTAATTGGAAAAGTAGTCAGCTAGGAATTAGATGAATCGGGCTCTCTGTCAGTAATTTGCCCACTAGCCATTTATTCATTACACGTGCAGACATCTGCCTGCAGGTACAACAGTGAATCAGACTGATAAGGTCTTATCTATAACTAGTGATTTCATTGACTAAGCCTCTCATTTTCTTAGGGTTCTTTTTAGTTTCCTCATCTGAAGAAGGTGGGGCTGGATCAGCTGTCTTCCAGTTCTAGAAGTTTATACTTTTTGAGTGGATGCTCCTTTTTGGGAGAAGAGCTAATAAAATGGGAATTCCTTTTCTTTCAGAGTTTCTAAGGAGATGATGGTAGTAGAGGACTTTCATGGTGTCTGGGAGATGGAGTGTTTTCTTAGGTAAACTGGTGTTTCCTGTTGTTGTTTTTCCGTTTAGTTGCTAGGAGGATAAATGTGGGAACACAGAAGTTGGGTTTGCAACCTCAAGGGTGGCAGAAATTGTTTCTGGAGGGAGGCAGAAATATCTTAGATATTACAATGGTTTTGTGGCCCTTCAGAGCTTGATCAACAATATCTAACATTAACATTTCTTAGGTATTTTTCCTTAGGTATTACATAAGCATGGTTTACGTATGCAAGGTCAATACTATAAACCGATGGTAAATAGATGGATAGGCCTGGAGGACTTTCCATCAGTTACTTGATCTTTAAGTCCTCTTTCTTGGTGACCTCCTCTGATGTACAGGCCACCCATTGGTTGCCCTCTGGATGTCGCTTATGTTTGTCCCTGAGTGCTTTCATGAATGCCTTGGCATTTGAAAGTTAAATAGGAACAGGTTATATTTTATTATTTAATCCTATTAAAGTTATTCAGTCCACCAGTAATTTTCAGGTATTGAAAAATGAACAAGTCAGTAGTATCTGAATGAATATCTAGTAACTATTTAAGTTAAAAATTATTTTCTCATGTGAAGCAAAAGTTCATTAAAAATAACTTTGTTTTAAGTTTCCATTTTTATTTATTTGTTTAAGTAATTTCTATACCCAATGTGGAGCTCGAACTCACAACCCCAAGAGTCTCATGCTCTTCCAATTGAGCCACCCAGGCAACCCCCAAAATAACTTCTTTAAAAAATAACTTTTAAGAAGGCAAATTTTCAATTGTTCTACTTTTGAAGAATAGAAGTTTTGAATGTCTTTTAAAATTTTGGTTGCATTGATATTATGTAGAAATTAGAAATTTGCATGTGTAATTTAATATATTAAGAGTTACTTAGCAAATACAGTTATAAAGTTAAAATGTTAATAGTTAAAGCACATTAATTTAACTTAAAATATTTATTTAGTTATTCCAAATCCATTATTGAGTAAAAAACAATAAACTTTTTACTTCTTTTTTTAATGTATAAAGCATATTTATATATATCTCAGTGTTATTAAAATTTCATGGTGGGTATGGTTAGGAAAAAATGTCTAAAAGGATTACTTAGGAGGGCAATATGGAAAAAAAGTTGAGAAACACTGAGTTGGAGAAAGAAATGGCTAATATAGTAGGTGCTTCCATGGCCTGCCTTTTTGGCTCGGGATTTTTTAGATCTAATTCTAACTTAGAAAATTTATCTGTTGCAATTTTAGATGAAGTTTAGATAAGATTGATTGCCACAGTTTTTTTTTTTTTAAGAATCAGATTCATTTTTTTAAAGTTTATCTATTATTTTGAGAGTGAGAGAGAGAGAGCACATGCATGCCAGATGGGGAGGGACAGAGAAAGAGAGAGACAGAGAGAGGGACACACAGAGAGAGAATCCTAAGCAGGCTTCACACGGTTAGCATGGAGCTCAATGCAGGGCTCAAATCCACGAACTGTGAGATCATGACGTGATTGGAAATCAAGTCAGACGCTTAACCACTAAGCCACCGAGGCACTCCAAGAATCAGATTGATTCTTCTATTCCCCCAATGTTCATTGAGCACCTCTCAGGTGCTAACAGTCTCCACATGCTGGAGGTACACACTAAGATAGGACAGCATTATTGCCTTTGAGGAGCATAGGTTCTTAGCAAAAGACACAGTTGCACAAGTCACTAGTTGTATCTTTGGATCCAGGCAGGTTTTAGGTAGAAGGACCATGTAGTTTATTGTCCATAGCAGGGCCGTATGAGAGTAAATGGATACTTTTAGTAATTACCCTAGGACAATAGGTGCAACACAGGGATGCCACAGAGACTAAGAAAGAGATGGCATTGAACTGAGTCTTGAATGGTGAGCAGGCCTGTGCTGGTCAGAGTGAGTGGGAAAAGGCGCAGGCTAGGTGGAAGCTGAGATGGTCAGGAATGAGAGCACACGTGTTCAGCAGGGCACCTGGCACACGGGACGGAGAGCCAGGCTGAGACCGCAGAGGCCAGCTTGGATCATGTGGCACGGCATCTCGAGCATCCTGTTAAGTTTGGGTGAAATCTCCTAAAAAATGGGACTCTGGAAGGCTTTTTCGCGAGGCAAGTGTGGTGAGATTATTTATTTA